CTCTCTCTCTCTCTCTCTATCCTATCTATCTATCTATCTATCTATCTATCTATCTACCTACCTACCTACCTACCTACCTACCTACCTACCTATCCATCGATCTATCTACAGGGCATTTTTAAAGCACGACTAGTGTTTTCGTCAACTATCTTGTTCAGGCTGAACAGTCATGTCTTCTTATTCAGAATATCAAGTCACAAACGAACCCTCCACACTGGTCAAACTTCTCATTACCAGCGTCACGTCTGTAGCAGTTAGGCGCTGCACCGTCGTACGCAGGAGACCCGAGTTCGAATTCCGAGTGGGGAGAATTATCATCGAGTAAGTCTTAATGTCTTTTCGCTAGGATGTTGTAATCTATCCTTCTCAGCCTGGCTTGGTCTGGTCTTAACATGCAAGGTTGAAAACGACCTCCTAAAATAAACCTAAATTGGGTCGATGGGGGTGTTGGGGTAAAATTTAAAACAACCGCTTTAAAAAAAGACACATCATTGGCAAAAATCTATTTCACTAGCACATTAAAATCAAACCCGATGAAGAGGAAACCAAGTGAAGATTTGCTGGCTGATTCCAGTCTCGTAACTTGTTCACCAGGTCTTGCTCTATGTTCAGACAGATTTTCGTAAGTTTATTCTTGATTTCTCATAAAAATAAAAGTGAAACTTTTCTTTATCCGGTCAGGGTTTGGAAACCAAACCATTTTGTAGGCCTGTGTTAATTTAATGACCTATCCCTTTTCTTCTATCATATCAGAGGAAACTTATCAAACGTGATCTTTTCATGCGACAAAACAGGCCAATCCTATTCACTCTGCAAACAATTTAGATTTCGCAGCTACGTAAAAACTTAAAAAAGAACCTCGCCCACTAATAAATGTGAATAGAATCGTTATTTAATTTTCATTTTTGCATCCGTAAAGCAATAGTTTAAAAGCAGTTGAAATAAACGTATTCCTTGTACATGTATTTCCATCCCAGTTTTGACCCCGTCGTTGATCTCTGTATCCTGTTTTCTTCTTCTGAAATTGCGTCAGAACACAAGACAGAAAGCAAATTAATGTTCGTGTTAAGTTTGCTGCCCACAATTTATGTTCTTTCGTTCTTTTCATTTTTAAAACTTTCAACTTGTACTCTAACGTAGGGTGTTTACCGAGTTTGTTTGTTCAGGAAAAGTGCCCCCCCCCCCTTCTCTCTCTCTCTCTTTCTCTCTCTTTCTCTCTCTCCCCCTCCCCCCCCTCTCTCTCTCTCTCTCTCTCTCTCTCTCTCTCTCTCTCTATCTATCTATCTATCTATCTATCTTTTTTGGGGCTCTCGCGCGCCGGGACGTGAGGGAGTTTGCCACTTAAAGTAAATCCTTACGGGTAATAAAAAACACAAAATCTTACTTCTTACCCTTGAAAAAATTAAATAAAAGACCTCGCCCCTTACCCCATTTTTATGAAAATGGAAAAAACACGGCCACACATGTTGGTGGTTGTTGTTGTTTTCAAAATCCTCTTTAGCTGCGAGCATTTCGCTTTCTTGGCAGCGCAATGCCACCATCAAGTAACCACATGTCCTTGTCATCACGACATGTACACATAGATCTTCATGTACTTTTGAACGAATAGAAGATGGAACCCATAGAAGATGTGATGAACACGAACATTTTACACCCACACTCAAATCAAAAACACCTCAAAAACCTCAAAACATGTGGAGAGTTTGACTTGTTCCTTTACATTTAAGAGCACTCATGATTCACTGCAAGCGATCAACACATCATCCTGTAGGGAAATCTGAAGTGAACGACATGACATTAAAATCCACCAAGCAGCCTGATCAACCCACAAATTAATACACTTTGAATGTACTGTAATCGTGTAGCTTTTGACATGACAAATAGGCTCACCCCTCAAGACACACACACACACACACACACACACACACACACACACACACACACACACACACACACACACACACAGTACACACACACAAATACACACACACACACAAAAACAAGTAACATTTTTAAAAAAATCATTATGCATGCCTTTGGTCTATTGTGTTAAGTTAAATTTTTTTTTTTACGAACCCCATTTCTTTTCCGTTACAAACGCATAGAAGTACGTGCATTGTACTTTCCGCTTTCTTCTGACTCGAAATTCTTTTACCCATACGTACGTAAGTTAGCCCCGCACCCTCATACATAATACATGTGTATTTATTTAGGAGTGCAAATATTTGAACAGCGGCAGCGTGCCAGGGGGATTATACAGGATTACATGCATTACTTGTTCTTTGGCTGTAGTGTAAGTGCATGCCTCATTGTGGACTCTGTCGAACAGTGTGCACCAAAGAGTGAGAATATATTATACATTTGTATATATTTTTGTTGGTAAGTGTTTTACGGCGCTCGCACTGCAATAGGTCATATGGGCGACGAACACCTTAACCTCTAGGTCACTAGAGCCCCCGAGTGAGGAAATAGAGGGGGAAATGCTTGTACAATGTACACGGTGCACAGCTAGTATTAGTATTATTAGTAAGAAAAGTTTTAAGGCACTTGCAATACAAACAGGTTATAGTAAGTGCCGAGGTACAACGCATCTGCTGCCATAACTAGCTATATATATATATAAACGCTACTGGCGTTTCCAGGGAAATGAAATGGTAATTCAAAAGAATCTCCATCGAGATGGTCTTAAGAAATGCCTTGTA